TTCCCTATACTGCTACTATGACATCATTGCTTCCACAAGAAAAGCTGCTTACAGTGATGAGGCCAGGGAATATCTCTTCTATTCCAATTAATTAGGGGGCTAATTCTCCACCCACAAGAGGGTAGCTTGCCATAGAGTAAAGTAATGAAACCATCTGTGGTCTGAGACATTCAAAACTCAAAGACATTTGTCACTTGCCTTTCCAAGAGGGTGCAAAGGTTGAGACCACATTTCTCTTCAGAGGTTGTTTCTGAAACTATACATTCTAAAACTTAAACCAGAAATACTTCTATCTGAAACAGAAATATATAGGCAAATTTATTACACACTTCTAAGGGCTTGATTAAAAAAAATTATTCTCCCAATGGCTGCTAGGCCATATGAAAGTGCAAGGAAAAACTTTGGGGCTCTATGGCTGGAAGAGGGATTTGCATATTGAGAGATAGGTGAGGCTCCTTGCACGCTTTTTGGTAACCCCTTCTTTAATTGAAAACAAAACAAAACAAACTTCATGATTTCACTCAGGTCTTATTTGGAAGTGGTTCCTAAAATAAAATTTCTGGGGAAAAGAGAAGAGTAAAAATTATTCCAGGACAATGAGGCTGGGACTGGGGTTTCAACTACCTATGCCTCATTCAGATTAAGAATTTCATCTCTAGACAAATTCCCTGACAACATATCCTGAGTTATTGTGAAGGAAAGAAGGAAAAAAATGGGGTGTAATGAAAGGCAAACAGGCAGATAAGTTTGTCTAGCTCCTCATCCAGAAGTGTTACCCCATATAAATAATTTAATATTTATTAGCAAACAAGCTCAAACCTGAGCTAAAATGAAACAAATTCCATCAAGAAAAAAAAAAATCCAAACAAATAAAAAAATCTAGTGTTTGCCACTTGCTAGGAAACATAGCTCTAGTAACCTCTGAATTCATCTTCTTGGATAAAAGCAAAAATATGAATTCACTCAACTTCCCCCACCAAAGAGGTTCATACCTATCTGTGTCAGGATAGCTGGGTTACCTTTGCACTTTCTGAAAAGCTATCTTTTGTATTCCCCATTGCTGGACAAAAATGGCTCCAACATCTAGAAGGCATTCATTAAAAGAGAGACTGGTTGCAAGCTTACAGCAAATTTAATCTCCTCACTGCCCTATCCAGACAGTGTTTATCAATATTACTATTTCTTACCCCTGTTTTAGTTGCTTAAAAAGTCTGTCTTCAAAGATTTGAGCAACACAGGTACAAGTGGACACAGTTGTGTTAACGCTGATGTATAAATGAAATCTGCCAAGCAGCAACCTTAAACCAATGGCAAATAGCAAGAAGCCTTATTAATATCAAGTTGTTGTGGGCAGCAGGCAGAAAGGGAAAGAATAACAAAGCAAAGCAAAATCCAGAAAATTCTCACCTAGAAGAACTGGCTAGTGAGAACTGTATCTTTGAAGACCATATTGTTATGGTTGGGGTCAATATCATTAGCTTAATTACAGTTGTAGATATTTTTCTCTTTTTTCTCATCCTCATAATTTTCTTATGCTTAAGAGATTAATTTACTGAAAGATGACATCTTCTGTCTTCAGTACATATCCTGCCACACAACTGCATATATTTCCAGATGCACTTGTGAAGACTTCTTTTTTTAGATTTTCTTAAACTGTATAAAAGACCTATGGAACTTGCAGAGAGCAAATAATAATGCAGCATTAGACTGAAACTGCCACACTAGGTTACCTTTGACAGACTGTTTCAGCTGTACCTCAGAACATTATGAGCACAAAGAAGCAAGACACACCTAAACTACTTCAGTTGCATTTGGGTTTTGGTGGCTTGCTGATGTTTGGTTTTTGTCTGCAAAAATATGGGTATTTTCAAACTTCTAATCAGGTGAGTCTCTATCTGTTCAGACACCCTCACCGGGGCCTTTGTCACGTCCAGTCTGTCTTTTAAATAATGTAAACTTTTAATAGTTAGGACTGTGCTAGCACAGAACAAACTTAAATATCAGGAATTTGAAGGCTGATGCAGACAATAGTAGTGTTCAGATTTTTCTCCTCTTTCAGTTCAATTATGCTCATCTGTCTCTCTGGAACTTATTTAATAGTACTTGTAGGGAAGCAAAATTTACAACCCAGCCCTCTGAAAAACAAGATTCAACCTTTATAACAATATGCTAATACAAATATATATTTAGAAATATTTTTTATAAAATATATAATTCAAAGTTATTGAAAAATAAAACTTAGAGGTGGATACCCCGATGTAGCTACGAAAGCTACATACCACTTTCACAACAACCTATATCACAGGTCTTATCACTGCATTAGGCTATCAAAATATTCAATGTATTTTAGGAACATATTGTAAAGAATTCCAGCAAATGCTCTTCATATTCTTTTGCTTGGCAAGTGATTCTACCCTCTCTCCAACTTGTTGTTAGGACAGCAAATTACCAGACACCCTGAAGAATGCAACAGTCTCGCCAAACCTAGAAAAAAACCACTCTTAACACCAACAGCTTGCCAACTACCACTCAGTTTCCAGCATCCTCTTCTTTGGCAGTATCCTTGTGAAAGTGGTGGCATCCAAAATCTAACAGCAACATCTCTTGCCAACATCCTGGCTCCTTGACATACAGGCGCTAGAACAAAACATGACAGCAGAACAACCCTCCCTGGCACTACCAGTCCACATACTCCTGACCTGGAACTCAGAGTGGATATCCCCCAGGCTGCTGACAGAAGTAACTGTCTGGCTCTAATAAGAAGAATTGTAAGTTTAGTAAGAAAGAATAGGACAGTAGTGCTTTTTCCAGAGAAGCTGAATGGCGTGCAATTCCTTCTCATTCTCCTGCACAGCTCCAGAAGTCCTGTACTCTGCTGTCCCACAAACCACAGCACTTTGACCTTGCCAGCTTAACTCCAAATCAGTTTTACACAGGGAAGCTGAACAAAGCTAGAAGGTCATCCTCCAAGAGATGGCATTCAATTATCCTTCTGTCTCTGTTTAAATGAAGGCTTTCAAGGGAACCAAGGCACAGCTTCTATTTTCTGTCCCAGCTTGGCAGCAGACAAAGGGATACTGGCTTCAGTGACTCCAAATCACGAGAAAGTGTTATGCTCATATTTAAAGCAGAAAGTTTCAAGATGTTTCAGATTTATGTTTTCTATGTCACTTCACCTTCTGAAACAGTGGAGTTTGTCAAACATTATATCTTGACCTACAAGTCTGACCACAAGAAAGCCTATGCAGCTTGTCTGCTGCCTTCCCCCAAGGCTCTGTTACTGGCAGCAAGATTACTCCTTACTGTACTTAAGACTGGACTCACTACAGGGTGTGATCCTCAACAGTAAAATACATACTGCTACCTTTCTTCTCCTAATGCTAAATGGTGCTTCAAAAGCAGAATTTTAAAACATGTTGGAAGAGAGTTGACCCTGCCTTCAGCTTCCCAAACCCAGAAGCTACAAAAAAAATCCTTCAAAATTACAAGGGGTAAGGTAATGAATTTGGCTTTTCTTCCACTTACAGGGATGTTCTAAAAGCAAATAAATTTTCTACGGTTAAATGGTCTAAATTTCAAAAACAGTAATTATCCTTAGGGAAGTTTTTCATATTTATTTATGAGAAAATTTGCTCCTTTGGGAGCAAATGCTAATTTGCTATTCTACATAATTTAGGCATGTATTTAATAGAAAAATAAAATTTCACTCTCAAAATTCCACACAGTTTGGAAAGAAACCGCATTAAAGTCTCCAATTGAAACTGATAATAAGCCTGCAAAATCCCTTAAAGGAAAAAAAAAAAAGCAATTGCATTAGAATTTAGAATTATGTTATTTGACTTGTCTGCCCTCTTACCTGTAAAATACATCTGCTATCTCCAAGCATATGTATCTGGGGTTTATATTACAGGAATATGACTTTTTGTATAAAAATCTTTGATGGTTCTCCCACTTTTGGATATTCACACACAATAGACATGACATATTTCACAAACAGAGAATACTTTGATGATATGCCTACTACAAAACTGTACAACCACAACGCAGACTGTTTATCCTAATGCTGTAACAGATCTAGAAAATATCCATGTATATGTTAACAGCCCAGCAACACAAAATTATGTCCTGGTCAGAATATAGATAGTTTCTGAATTAGAAGATCAAAGTTCCAGCTTGTTTCAGATACACACATTTTCTGAGAGCTCAAATGAGAAGATATGATGTTATGATAGTGGGTAGTGTCACTCCTTGGTCATTACAAAGTGATAGTGTGTCTGTCACAACTGTTTGTCTTAGTCTGATAAAATTCGTAACATGGCAAAGGTTTAAAAGATTGACTAGTACAGCCCAATTGATTAGAAGGATAGTCTCATGAAAATTCAATAAACCTTTTGTCTAAACAGACTGGAATGGCAAAGCTTGGGTTTGATTTTCTCTTGTGTTTTTATTATAAAAGAATCCTTGAAAGGAACATTTACACTAACATCCCTCTCAAAGGAATATCAAGTGTCACTAGCCATGATGCATTAACATGTTCAAAGACTGCTCTGAGCTGATGCAAAAAAATTATTTCAAATTAACACATTTTTAATTTATAAAGTAAAAATGAAAAGTAAAAAAGCTGGTAGCTGTCACAGAGTTTAAACATGGGTCAATTTTCTTTTGCCTGAGATTAAAGAAAACTGGTAGCATTGGAAGACTTTAATAAAAATAAAGTTATTTGGGATCTTGTTTCCTTACTCCCACTTCCTTACCCATCCCCACTTAGAAAATTCTAAAAACAGTGAGATAAAAGAAACACTCCTTAGATAAAATTGATGTTGATAAAACAGTAATTAAGGCACTGCTAGTTTAGAGGAACTAAAGCATCACAATTTATCCTGATTATACTTACCAGTGCAAGATAGGTTGCATACCAATTAAACTCTCTTTAGCTATTATCAGCAGTATAATTGTTCTCAAACAATGTTAGATGCATATATTCTGGAACTTATATTTACCTGGTGGATTCTTGGCAGGATCATTGTGGCTTGGACTTCCTGGTTGTCCAGAATCTATAAAGAAATTAAAGAAAAGTTTTAATAATTTGTTTTGCAAGTATCTCACAATCTTTTAATGCCCTCTACTAACTACTAAACTAATTCTTTAAAAGTCATTTCCTTGATGTTCTATATGAAGCATTATTGAACAAACACTCTCCCTGCGGCCTATTTTATGCAGAAACATTGTGAAAGATGCAATGATCTTAATAAGAAGAACATGTAGATCACTAAATAATAACAAGAGAGTCTTTCAGTTAAATTCTGAAGTTGCAAACACATTTACAAGGGTACCTTTTCATTCCTTTTCCCTCCATCCCCCAAATATAATATTGCGTAATGAGTAAAGCAGAGGTAACCTCTTCTCAGGCAATGACCAGAAAGACACACTGGATCAGGCAACTAGTGGTGCTTGCAGTGATGAGGCCTGTTCCTTGAGCTTTTCCTTAAAGCACAAAGGCTTACATTGCTTCCACAGACTCATGACTGCAATGAGGCTATGACGGTCTGTTTAAATACAATATGGTCTTTGTGTTCTTAGTCTGTGAGAATTTCTGTTGTGAAATTAAAATTATGTAACATAAAAACTAACAAAACTCAGTGTAGACTTCAAACTGTTTTCTTTTGCACCTACATGCACCTACATGCACCATACATGCACCTACTGAATCAAAAGAATAATGTAATTTTATGTTAATACACTAAATAATAAATTATATCCTTATTAATAAAAACAGTTTATTTTAAAAACACCTACTTTTCGCTGTATTCCCACATCAATAATACAACAAAACCCTGCTCCAATGATAGAAATTAACAAAGATATATAAAAAAAAAAAATAATGCAGAGAGGAATAAATGAAGTATCACCATTTTTTCCCACATACAGGATGTTTTGGAGCTGTTTTAGAGTCTGAATAAAAATACCAATTTTCTCAAATGTAGTAGTGTTATTAATAGCATAAGACCACCAAAAGATTTTATCATAGCACCACAGAAACCGCTACCACCAAATGAATTCCAGATGGATGTAGAGCTGTTGAATGCATTGCTGCTTACAATGCCCAAATTAAAGAATTAAAAATATAGAAAAGAAAAAAAGTTTATATCAACAAATATTTTTCCTTCAATTACTATTACTTGTTCTTATAGCTGATGTAGTCCTCATCATAGATTGAGAGATTTCCTCTACCTGCTACAAGAAGTTCATTGAATTTGGTTGCCACTCATTCTGCAGCTTCATAAACATTGCTTGACTCATTTGTCGGTCAAACACTTTAAGGTAACACAAGATTGATTCTATAGAAGATTTTAACTGAGATGGAAATACTTTTCAGAGCTCAAGTTCAACTAAGTTGATCTGAATGGCAGGCATCTCAAAATATACACATCTGGCTAGCTACTTGACTACTGGAATTCTAAGGCACATGTGAAACTCAGTTCCAAAGGTGTTAAAAAACACAACTAACTTTCCCAATATTGGATTAAATCATTATTGTACACAATAACATGCACAATGAACAGGAATTTCCCATGAAATTTCATCTATCTTCTTCAGCCTTGGGCAGGAAACATGAAGGGCAGGACTGTGAGCTGGATTCTGCCCTTACCATGGTTTGGCACCTGAGTACTCTTAGAAGTCCCTAAGAGTAAAGTCCCTAAGTCCCTAATGTGCAGCACAATATACATCCATTCAGTACGTCTGCTTCTTTGCATTATATGATACTTCCCTTAAAATAATTAAATCAAGTTAATTTGAAAACCTAATCAGCTACAAGAAATGCTAAGAGTCTAATATTTCTCCACATATGGACCAATTTGTGGAGAATCATCCTTTTTCCTGTGTGAATTAGATATTCTTCTAATAGATATTCGTTGTGTCTGCAAACCACACATACCACTATTTAAATTCAAATTATAAGAGAGGATTAATTTTACACAGCAATGGTCAGAGTGTAAAACTATTGCAGATGTGGGGCTAAATGAACTGACAATTTGGTAGTAGATAAACCCAATAAAGCTTGAACAACATAGCTTCAGGATCACAGAGATTTGAAACAGAATTAATGAGACCTACCAGAAAATAACTTTTGAAGTTTTCTTCTGTTAAAATTCACTCAAAAGAAGCACAAAGTGAAGTAATTTTTCCAATCTTGCATAGCAATTTACCTTTACTTCTAGTTTCTGGATTCAGGATTTAAAGATTAATGGCAGTTTGAATAATTGTTATTATAGTAAGAAATTTAGCAAATAATTTTCTAATTATAGGTATAAGCAGTTGGCTATTATAATTTTCCAGTCAGACTTAGCTTTGGGTTTAGGTAACTACTCAGTTATCATGGCTTTTATGTACTGATTCTCAATCTGTGTTTTTTGAGATCTCAAAGCGATTTTGAGAAAGCAAGGGATTACTGAAGAAGAATATGGGAAGAAACTTATCTAAGCCTTCACTAAATGCAGTTGAAAAATCAAGGTCTTTTATTCTGTATGAGAGCATCAGGCTATGGAACTGCAGTTAAAGCAGAGAGCCATCTGATCCTCAAGATGAAAGACAGACTTGAGATGGCCTATGATGATTCAATTCTCTTACCAATGTCAGTAATTACTAAGTACTCTTCTGTTTTGATTGGATGCAAATAGCTTTGCAAAGTACAAAAGAATCATGGTCATTATAGGATTGAATTATATTAATAACTTCATATAAACAGAACACTGAATGAACAGATACATTGGAGCAATGCTCTTCTAAAAGAGGGAGTAAGAGGCATTTTTGGGAAGCCATAGAAGCTACGAAACTAAAACACTTGCTAATACACTTTAAATCTTTCTTTGTTGTCTGTACAAGACCGCTAATTAACAACATGAGCCCTTTCTTCCAGGAAAGGGAGATGGAGAAAGATATAAAACAAATTCATTGTCTGTCTAGCTGGATTTGCATTCAACTGTCCTAGCAAATAACTCCTACACATAAGGAAAAAAAAAAAAAAAAAAAAAAAAACAACCACTCAAAAGCAGAAGAAATCAAACCACCAAAAGAAAACCCAAGCAATTTCCAAAGCTAGAAGCTGGATGAAAAGATACACAACAAGGAACAAATCAAATGTTACACAATGAAACTGAACTTTACATAATTTCCATTTAGGTAGCTCCCAACTGTAAGTTCCCTTAGTTTTATTTTTGCTATTGTTGTAGTGGTTGATAGGAGCAAAAGGTCTACACACACCATTTCCCAAAAATGGATTTCATGTGCACCTCACAGCTACAGTAGCACATCTTCCACTCTGCTCTTTTTGATGCTGACTCATAAAACTTATTTTTGATAAGTTATTGCCCAATGGATTAACAATTTATATGAAACAGGTTCAAGCCAGACTTTACTTTTAACAGATCATGTAACCCTGATGCACTATATGTATAACTTATCGTGATTTAGCATGGCTTTCTCCAAATATTCAAACTCTATATCAAATTACTCTTGCTTCTACGAGATTGTATGACAGGATGAGACAAGATGCTGACATATATTTAATACCTAATTTTTTTCCTATGTTTTCATTTCCAGGGGTTGATCACAATGAGCATCTGTGAGTGCAGGTAACTCTTAGTGCAGCCAGATTTAAGACAGAGAGCTGAGGCCTGTTTCAAATGAAAAAATAAGCTTCCATTTTCTCCATGGTACACTAGGAAATATCTTGGCTTCATAAGGGAGAGGAAAATTTAAAAAGCTGTGTCTATAAAAACCATATAGCAAAGGATGAGAGGCTTTCTCCCTTTGAACCACATGGTCTTTGACAAGCAGGAAGGACACCCATGCCAGCAAAGCCAAACAAGTCACATTGCCATTCACCAGCTTCCTGAAGGATTTTTAGTACTGCACACCTCAGTAACCTTTCACTTTTCAGCTGATATGATACTCTCTTTAAAAAGTAAGCTGTTATACCTTCCTGATGCCCCATCTTGTACAAGAAATTTTGGTTTTAAGGCTCTCTGTTAGAGCATAATATCAAAGGCATTGAAAATAAGTAGAAGCAGAATCTGCTAAAATCTAAAAATATTTTCTAAAGCCATATCTTAGGGAAATAAGTAGATTGCCCACAGGCAAATGAACTTTTTCAGTGGTTTCAGTGAACACATTTCTATTTGCCACAGGCTATGAGGACAGCCTTTAATCAGCCTCAGCTGATCTCAGCTGATAGACACTAATTTAATCATTCACCAACAGGTAAATACATCTTGCTCTTTGATAGTCTCTGATTTTGGTATGAGGGATAAGGGACCATAGAAATGTGGCCATCATCAGACCATGTATGACGTTGCTCAAACTTTCACATTCATACGCAGCACTTGACTGCTGACAGAATCACTATCATGAATAAGAATCAGAACTACCTTCCAGACTGTCAGGATTACTTTGCCATCTGATATCACTTGATGCAAATGGTTTTACCCCTGAAAATCACAAGATCACAGGTAACCATAGTGTCATAGACTTTGGGATGTCTTCCATCTCAGTCCATCTAATCAATTCTTGATCTCTCAAAGACTCTCAGAACACCCATAGCAAAGAGAAGTAAGACATCTTCCTCTTCTCCAAAGCAAATAACATGAGCCGTAAAAATCCATAAAACAAAGAGATAAATAATTTCATCCCTGTACTTTAAGTCATCACTTTGACTTATTATTACTCTAATTTTACTACATAACTTCCATTTACTGCCTACACTATTTTACCTTGACAAAGAAACTCATTGGTTTGACAAACTTCCCAAACAATTGTAACAATTGTATTTTGCAAAAGCAATGTTGTTCTTTGTGTAGTCTTTCTCTATCTGACAATAGAGACCATCTGTACCATTTTAATAGCATTATTCACACCAACTCTTGTGATAGGACAGCTAAAAGTGGTTTAATGCATTATCTACTGAAAAGTGGGTAATATCCACTGAAAGGCTGTTATAAACATGGAAATGCTAATGTCACTGTTGTTTTCATAAGTGTGTTAGCTTGACGGGGGA